CATCCTGGCATTGTTAGCATCCCATTTACGTCTTACACATCTTTTTTTTTTTTTTTTTTTAATTCAAAATTGAGGTATAACAGGGGGGTCGCCTGGAGAAGGGGAAGCTCCAGGTTCCCTGCCCCACCCAAGGAGGGGTGAAGCTGAGCAGAGGGAAGGAGCAGCTGCAGAGGAGGCTGAGCAGGAGGGTAAAAGGATGGAGCCAGAAGGAGACCTGGAGGAGGCACATGGAGCAGGGAGACACCTGCAGAAGTTGCGCTTGCCTTTTGGACCTGGACTGGGTGAAGCAGATGTGGGTGAGACTTGTGGGGAGGTGACAATGGCGGCTTTAATTTTGCTCTTTTTCTTCCAGATGTGCTGGCCCTGTCTGCCCTATGGGTCCCCACCAGAAGGTGCCTTAGGCTTGTGGCAGGCTTTTGGGCCTCAGCGGCCCTGCTCTGGGCCAACCCTGTTTAGCTGGACATTTACCCACCAGGTATGGGGAACTTCGGCGCTTGATCTGGAAACTGTTCTTCCCCTTTTCTGTATTGCACACGAACTGTACTAAGATTCCTTTCCTCTGAAGGTCTCACACACTAGAGGATGTTTGTTAATGGGGCAGCTGGCAGAACCTATTTAGAATGGGCAGTTTTGGGGGGGACCCTCTCCCTGCATCTAACAAAAGTATTGTTTCTATTTGAATGTATACATTATTTCTTAGACTAGGAACTTGTCCTCATTTTGATCACTACTGGTTTTCTTGTTTGAATCTTATTTGATCATATAAACTCCTTATTTAACAGAGGTTGGTTTATTTTTCCTTCATTATATCCTAAGACACACTCTGGAATTGATGTTCTAATTTGACTCAAAATTCATTAGGTTTTGTATGCCTGTAACTCACACATTGACACACAAAACTAGTCTCTGCTAAGAGCTGAGCTGGGTCCCGACTTTTAACCTCTCTCCATCTCAATCTTGTATCTAGTAAAACGAGGGGCTGAATCAAGGTTTCTGTGCATCTTTCAGCTCTGAGAGTCTGTGACCACCTCATTTAAACAGTCAGGGCTCTCCCTCAAAATCACCTGCTCATGTGTCCAGCCTGAACTGCAGCAATATTCAGCGTAAAAGACTCAACAGACTGGGTGGCAAGAACTGCCTCTTAAAAAGCATCTGGGTAATGGTAACAGCCATCTGTTTTGTCCCCTGGAATCTTCAAACAAATAATGAGCAAAGCAAAGCCACAACAGATGTGCCCTATTTTTTATAGCACAATGCAATGGGAGGAATTGAAAGTTCGTTTAGGTTTTGTGAGATTTGGGTTTATATTCCCTGTATTGTTGATTCTGGAGGGACAAGCTACACTTCTCCAGGCTTCCTTTACTTAGCTATCTATTAAATACACTTTGTTGAACTAGAGAAAATAAAATGTTATTTAAAATGATATTAAATGTTTCACAGAAATCCCAACTTTGAGATCCCAACTTTGGACTAAATTTATGGGAATTTTGTTTTCAGATATGTAGGACCCATGGGAAAACATAGTTTTTTGAGTGTCTCAGCCTTTTTTGCCAGTGACCTACCTTCCAGCACAGGTGGCCTAAGAGAGAACATGTAGCCTTGAGATGAGTCCGCATGTGCCCATGGTACATAACTGTAATCTTCAGGTATAGTTCACATGCCAATGAAACTAGGCTTCAACTTGCTCCTGTGCCAGCTTTGTCTATACATTCTATAAAAGTTCCTTGACGGGGGGCACTCACTGGGCAAGGGCCTACTGCTGCCACTAGAGCCCGGGGGGCTGCTGCTTTTGCTACCTGTGTATCTTCCGCTGCCTCCTAATGAAGACTTGTTCCTGCTCCCACACATGGGCTTCATGACCCGTTTTCTCATCTGCCACCATGGAGAACCAGGTAAGCTCGTAGCTGAGGCCCTACAGGGTGGCACACTTACCTGCGTGCATTCATGTAACCATTGTGCGTTGGTCACTTCCTCTTAGCCAGATTCTCTGGTAAGCTGTTTCTGGACCAGTGAGCTGTTCAGTACTTTTCTAATCATGCCTAGTCGCTCAGAGATCCTCAAAGGGGTGGGAGCTGGATGGTCACAGACTGCTTTAACTCTGCTCCTCCAAGTGTTAGGAGTAAGAGGGGTTTCTGAGTGTTAACTACCAGGTAGATACCTATCTATTCCTAGTAAGTGCAGTAATAAACTGGAAGACCCTAGTTAGGGAGATAACTCTTCAGCTTCTCAGCCTACTTTTGACTGGAATTATTTAAATATCAGCATGAAAAATCATTTAAAATCATTGTTTTTTGGCTCTACATTTTGTTTCAATTGCTTGTCCCCAATGATGTTTTATTTCTTTTACAAAAATAAATTTTGATAGGAAAAAAATCACTGTCTTCCACTCTCCACATCTTCCTTGTGGATTAGGCATTTTTTTAGTCACAAGTGCTGGTCCAAGGTCTTGAACAAATCACCTAATATCCTGGCCACAGTTTCTTCATATTAAATTATAGGGGCATTATATAACCAGGCTAAGATCCTCCAAATGCTAAGCACTATCACTTTATGAAATAAATGGGCATTTTATGGAGGCATAAATTTCCTAGATTTAAAGGAAAACATTGTCACCCATTGACCAAAATCACCAAGGAAGAAGCTTATAAATTTCACTTTGCTTCAGTACTTACTGTCAGCACAGAGTGATTCACTTTGTCTCTTGTGGGGTTTTTTTTTTCTCCCATCTCCTAAGCAGTCTAGAGGATAGCAGCCCTATCTAAAACTCTATACTAAAACACATTATACTGGCATTATTAAATGCAATGTTTACTGTTTAAAATGAGTGAATCTTATTAATATTTCATATATTTGCAGGGAAGAATATGAAGTCCCTCTGGGAGCATGGACAATGGGTTAGAGTGATTTGATAGCAATGGTCTTAAATTTAATGAAGGGTAAATTTGGTGCAGAACTAATGAGGAGGACATGAGGCAAAAGATGATGCCAGTGAGGACTCTGAGCCAGGTGATCTCAACCTTGGTTTCCATTAAGAGATTTTTCACATTCACTCTGAACTCAATGCCTCTACCACAAAAATGGGAAATCATGAGGCAGAAGGAAATCTGGGAACTAATATTGAGAAAAATAGCTGCCAGACATTAAGAATTTCAATCCAGTTCCTAGTACAGTCTAATAATATGTGCCAAGTGGGTATTCAAAAAACAGTCCTAATAACAATAGACGATAGTCATCAGTACACTGGAGGGTACAGTGGAAGAACTGGGGCTTCATGCCTCTGTGCTGTCTTTAGCTGTCCCTAACTGGCTTCATGTCTTAGGGCTGTGACATGGCCGTCTGTGCCTCTCGATTCCGCATCTGCAAAATAAGGATCTTATCATTTCCTAGAAAATTTGTGGGCCGGGCTTCAACATCCTCCGGTGAAACATCATATATAAATATAAAGCAGGCAACCAGAAGCTAAATGCTAACCAAGGGAATGAATTTTAGGGGAGTGTATTATAAAAAAATTAAGATTCTCTAAATAATATTCTTTTTTAAAAAAAGATTTATTTATTGAAGCATATAAGAACTGGGATCCAGGCCAGAGGTACAAGAGTTTGGGGGCAAAGGGGGTGAGAGGATTCACCAGAGACAGAAGAGGGGAGAGCAAAACAGGTAGAGCTACTGAAATGCACTGCTGAGAGGAGCAGTGGGCAAGACAGGAGAGGTCTGCTGAGCCATGTGGGGTAGCTCCCTGGCTGCAGATCCAGCTCTTGCTGCAGTGGCTGGATAAGGCTTGATAGAGCTGAGACTTTAAGCCCTGCACCAACAGGGAGGCCCCTCTGAATAGCATTCTAATGACTTGAACTAGTTAATGCAAAAGTATGTATATTGCATCTCTTTAGATTTATTTTTATTTTTTATTTTTTTTATTTTAAAAGATTTATTTATTTATTTATACAAGCACTGGGTACAGTCAGAAGCACGAGAGGGTGAGAGAATTCACCAGAGCCAGAGTGGGAAACAGAACAGGCAGACTGACGAAATACACTGCTGAGGGGAGCAGCAGGCACAGCAGGAGAGAGAGGTCTGCCTGCCATGTGGGACCCTCGCCTGCGGCTGGTGATCAAACCAGCGCTGCAGAGGCTGCAGACAGCTTCGAAGCCCGGCGCTCAACCGCTGCCCCACCAGGGGAGGCCCTGGATTTATTTTTTAAAAGATTTGTTTATTTACGCATACAAGAGCTGGGGTACAGGCCACAAGTGTGAGAGGGGCGCGAGGAGTGAAAGGATTCACCAGAGACAGAGTGGGGAACAGAACAGGCAAACTGAACTAAATACATTGCTGAGGGGAGCAGCAGGTGGGACAAGAGAGGTCTGCTGAGGCATGTGGGTTGTTCTCTAGCCAGCCCGGAAATTGAATTCTGATGCAGAGGCTGTAGATTGCTTCATAGTGCTGAGACTTAACCCCTTGCACCACCAGGGCAGCCCACTTTGGATTTTTTAAGTAGATGTAAATATAAATTCTAAATACATAAATTCTAGGATACATTTATTAAATTCAGTATTATATATGTCCATATTTACCTAAAATAGTACGAGTTCTAAATTAATTTCTGAAGCAAACTAGCATTACCTAAATTAAACTTACTTTTAAAAAGTAGCAATAATTCCTAGAAGTACTTTAATGAATACACGAAGGAAAAAAGAATAAATGTTTCTTCTTGGTTATTGAGAAGATAGGAGGGAAGAAATAGAGTTCTGAACAGTCTGTAAATGCCTACTTCATGCAGCCAAACCAAGGAATTATCTGAATAGATGAACAGTACTTGAGCACATCAGTAAGTCACTGGTTATGCTGACCCTGAATTTGCTCATTTTCTTAAGTCCCTTATGGTTCGTTGCTTTTTCTTTTGTTTAGTCTGAGAGTATACTGCAAAATTCAGAAACTTTTAAAAGTTAATTTGTATTTTTATGTATCATTTCAAAATATAATAAAGATTTAAAATAAACAAGAACCTGCAATAATTTCAGCGATCTCCATATTCTGAATAATGTATGTGATCTCTGTTGTATCATCCATGTGGAACATAATTCGGTTGCATCTGTCATGATAGAGGAAGATATTGTTCTCTTTAATAAATGATCCCCTTTACTTCTCCTACACCCCATAATTTTTTATTTAATTATCATTCAGTATTTACATTAATATGCCCATGCAAATATTATTCATTAAAAATTAGAGTGTTTGTTATCTTTCTTACCTTTCATGTCTCTGAAGTTAATAATTCTTTTACTGTTTCCTTCATTTAGTTCTTTGTACCTATTGATGATTCATCCCTCACCTCACAAAGGCCTCTCTGCACCAGGTCAGTCACAGCAGGTGATCCCCCAGGTACATCCCTCCTGAGGCACCCCATTTCCCTTCTCCCTGAACCGGTTCTTTAGGCAGGCTGCACAGCGGACTGGGATTACTTTCCACTCTGATCCTAGGAGTTCCCCTGGCCTATGTCCTGAGTGACTTTCTGTTTCTTAGACTTCCCATTTTCCTCTTTCATGGTTTATGTTCTCATTTTGTTAGAGCACAACATCCAATAGGTTCATCAGATTGAAGAGACAACAATGGCAGAAGAAATGAGCTCTGTCAGCATAAACATCTCTCAAGTCCCAGAGCTCCCGTATGGATTGCTGGCCCCTATACCTGGTTAGCTGTCATGCTACGAGCTCCCGTCACAGACACTTGCCATCCTCCTGCATAACACGCCCTATCTCCACTCTTCCCCTTCTGCTTTTTGTTTTAGTGAATATCCTCTAAAGGCTTTTAGCAAGAGTAAATGAGAGTTTTCTTGAGGCTCGCTCATTGGAAAATATCTATTTCACCTTCGGTAGTTCACTACCTTAACTAATGGTTTGGCCAGATGTAGAATTCTACCTGGAAATCATCTTTCTTCAGTCTGTTGAAGGCATTGTTCTGTTATCTTTTGTTGCTAGTGTTGTTGAGAAGTTCAAGATCATTCTGATCTTCATCCTTACTACTACACCTGTTTTTTTCCTCTCTAAAAGATTGCAGTCTTTCCTTTATCCGCCTTGTTTTGAAATTTTACAATGATGTGGACCTATTTTCACTCATTTTGTTGATACTTGATGGACCTTTGGAAATGAAAACTTAAATTTTTCTCTGGGAAATACAATCCAGAGGCAGAAAGCCAGACTTGAGTTGTATATGGACCTCAGGACAACACTAGGAAAGTACAATGTAAGACCTGCTTCCTCCATGAAATCTACAAGGAAGAAAATGCAAAAAGGAAATAAGAATTTTGGTGGGGAAAAACCAAATAAACCCTCAAAGAATTTTTATGAGCATGGATTCATATAATGATAATAATAACGATAATAATAATAATAATCTACAAAAACGTAAAATTGCAGAGTTGAGAGGACTAAAGTCTAATTCCCTCTTCAGGGTCTGAATACAAACTAATTGTCCACAAACTTTGTGAAAAAATTTTTTTCGGGCCTCCCTGGTGGCGCAGTGGTTGAGCGCTGGATTGCGAAGCTGCCCGCAGCCTCTGCAGCGCTGGTTCGATCCCTGGCCGCCGGGTGAGGGTCCCACATGGCACCCGCTGCTCCCCTCAGCAGTGTACTTTGTCAGTCTGCCTGCTCTGCTCTGCTCTCCTCTCTGCCTCTGGTGAATTCTCTCACCCTCCCGTGCTTCTGACTGTACCCAGTGCTTATATGTATAAATAAATAAATCTTTAAAAAAAATTAAAAAAAAAATTTTTTGCTATAGCTTCATTTTCATTTTGAGATAATAATTTAGACAGTCAAGGTTTCCTTCCCATTCACATGAGACTGTGGTATTGTGGACATGTGTGTGGAAATGACATCTTTCCTCAGTGCCACTGCCCACAAGGTCATTCTTTACCCTCTTTGATGCGGCAATCCATCACCCCTCCTTCCCTACACTTTTGTGCTTCAAGTTTTCTCTTTCTTTCAAAATATTGATGTAGGGCCTCCCCTGGTGATGCAGCAGTTGAGCACTGGGTTACGAGGCTGCCCACAGCCTCTGCAGCGCCAGTTTGATCCCTAGCCACCAGCGAGGTTCCCACAAAAACAAAAACAAAAACAAAAACACTGATGTAAATAGCTTGGTACACTGATGTAAATAGCCTCTATCAGGCCCTTGATGCCTGAACTCAGTACTTTGCCCTGGGGTAATCATGACTCCAGGAGCAGATCCCTTTGCAAATGCACAAATCTTTGTTTTGCTGAATCCCTGGGGCTTTGCCTACAACTGGAACCCGAGTTGGTGACATTTATTCAAACATTGCAGGTTCTCCTTTGGGAATTCACTGTTTCACATGGTATATCCCTTGGGAGGAGGAAAAAAAAAAAAACTCATACAACTTTCTTTAGTACAGAAACTGCTTTTCAATTTTTTATTAAAATGTAGTTCTTCAGAGTATAGGAATACACCTGACAATGACCTGTTAGAAGTCAGCCATCTGCTTCAAACATACATAGGGAATACCTACCAAATTCTGCCTCATCAGAATGTATTAAGTTGTACATACATATTAACAGAACGACACCAAAGAGGTTACATTGGACAGATTCTCCTAAGTGGATGTGATTTTCTGACAGATTATGTTTCCCTTGATGAGAGCTGTGACAACGGTGAAAGTTTTGAAATCAGCTAGAAGCCCACATGTGAACTATCAGGAGCTACAATGGCATGCGCAAAACACGCAGGAGGCAGGGCTGCCTTGAGGGCACGTCCCCTGTTTTTGCTGTGAGCACACAACTCTGCCAGGAAACAAAGCACGAAGAGGAAGGCGCTCCCTCTGCAGGGAAAAGGCCTTTGGGTTCACACTCAGGAATCACAAGACACCACACCCAGGAGAAGGAAAAAAGGAACTCCCTACACAGGGTCTGAGTCTCCTGAATGAAAAGGGCCAATGTGGTTCCAACAGGGGATGCGTGAGGCCCACTGCCCTTGGCTTGCAGAAGTGTGCCTGCGAGCATGCCCGCTTCCCTTCAGGCTTGCTCCTGGCCCTGGATGAGCTCCCCTCTGCACTATTAACAAGCACAAACCACTTTAGAGAGAAGACACTTGATTTGCCTTCGTTCAAAGTGAAGTGTCCTCTGTAGTTTGACTTTAGCCTGGTGAAATCCACCCCCAACTGGATTCAAGTTACTTGTGAGAACCACCAAGGAACTAATCTGTGGAGGACTCTGTGCTCCCTCTTTTGTCTTTGGATTCTGCTAAACTTCACTAGGAAGGAGAAAGTAGTGAATTCACCTGGGCTAGGTGTTGCCTTGACATTTTATTATGAGAAAGTCTTTCTCCCTGTTCTGTTTCTCCATTGTGCCCAAAATGAAGGGAGAGCCACAGTGGTACAAATAGGGAATGAAACTGGCCACGCCTCAATTCTGCAGTTCTCCTGAGAAGGGAACCATCTTGGTCAGACTTTTTCCAGTCTTTGGAGCAGAATCATCTTTCCTAATCAAGAATTTTTGCTTGATGTGTGAGATCACATGGGAAGAGTAAAGTCCACAGTACCTGGACATATCTGTCTTCTCCACACTTAAGTTTCTCTCTCATTTGCGGGTAAAACACAGCTTAAGAGGGAAGGAATAATGAAGAGTTTGCAATGCTTTCCAGCTGACACCCACTGTGACCAGGGGACATCTCCAAGGCCTCGGTGATCCCAACAAATGTCAGAATTTCAAGACAAACTATCTCCCTAACCCCCAAGCATATCCACCGCCCTGTCAACTGGAAGTAGGATAGTCATTTCCTATCTATGACCCAGTGAAAGGGATGAAAGACATCAGTAGCAACTGTGACCATCTGATGGTCCTTCAAGAGACGATATCAAATGCCAAGTCCCTACTTCTCTGAAGGCAGAGATCAACATAAAAAATTCACTTTCCATCATAATTCAGTCTGTCAAATGGGTGTTTTCCTTTTGGCAACAGCACTTCGTCATCATCTCAGGCTCCCCTTCAAGGGTCCCTGCTCCCTTGGAGCTCATGGGCCCTCTTCTCTCTGTGTTGTTTCTGCTGGGCCCAGGGACCTGGGAGCTCACATAGAGTATCCATTCTGGGGCCCGTTCCCACTGCCCAACTTTCCCCTCCGCAGAGAGAGGGGTAGACTTCACAAAGGACATCAGTCGTTGAGATAAATACATATATTCCCTCGGTAAAGAGGACATTTGGCTTTCTATGATTTCCCTTTCATTCCAAAGCATATGGTCCACATGGGAGGAGTCAACCCATTCTGGGCTGCAATGATCTCACAGGAATCATTGGGCCAGAGTAAAAGGGAGCAGGAGTGTGGGATCTCCCTGTTTCTTCCAGGAATCTACAACCCCTGCTAGGAATCCACCTTTGGAAAAATACTCACTTTATTGTTCCTGCTCATCTTCCGCTCAACCCTGCCTACCTTGGGCATCTTTGTCTGGATCAGCTCTTCTGGGGTGTTCCCCAAGGGGGGAAGCAGCCGCTTCTTGCTGTTCCGGGTCTCCGAGAGCCACTGAGGAGGCAACTCAAAAGGCCCAAAGCCAAACTGCAGGGAATACTTGTCAGGGAATGTCTCAGGCTCCACCGGGGCTGCTGGCACCCCCTGGGATATAGAGTCCACTGTGCCAGGGGGTGATGCAGGGGATGCAAACTGTGGCCCCTGCTCACCCTCCAGGCAGGTGGTCAATATCTCCTTGGCCCTGAGGTCAGCTGAGCCCATATATTTGGCTTCACTCTCTTCCTCATCCTCTGTGGGCTTAAAGATCTGCTGCTGCCCAATGTGGAACATCTCCAGGAGCTGGCTGCCTGAGCGCATGCTGGGCTCCAGGCTGGCATCAGCCATCCCAGTCCCTGTACTAACCACATTCCGGCGACTGTACCGGTGGTGCAGTTGTACCAAGGTTCCTACCAAGCACTTGCGGACAGATTTGTTGACAGTAAGAAAGAGCACAGGATTTGCCAGCAAAGACACTTTGGGCAACCAAATGGCAGTGAGCAGCAAGAAGACAGAAGTATCAGGGACATTGAGTACGGTCTGGTAGATGACGAGGGTGACGTAGGGCACACTACAGAAGATGAAGACCATCACCATGGACAGCAGGGTGGCATGCAGTTCTGCCTCCCGCTGGGAGGCATAGGGGATGGAGATGGTGTTCTGTGGGGTCCGAAGCGCTGCAATGATGACCTTCTTCTTCTGGCTAGCACTCAGGGCCCGTCGGATCAGTATCAAGAAGAGGAACACTACAGCCACAGGCACAATGACCGTCGTGATGTTATAGACCAGGACGTACACCAGGTGGCCCATTGAGTTGCTCCAGACTTCGGTACAGGTCGACATGGCGTAGATATCGGCCACATTGGTCACAGCAAACACAGGGATGCTGGCCACCACTGCATGAGCCCAGATGTACATCACCAGTTCGCGGGACTTGGCATCTGATAGTTTTCTCTCCAGGGGATACAGGACTGAGTAATACCTGCAAAATGTACAAGCCAATTCATTTCACAGGGGCAGATACTCTGTAAATTAGGGGACTCTATATTAGCAAAAGCAGAAGCAAGTGGGGGAAAGGATTAACTTCTTTCATTCTGCCTAAGACAGAGGGGCCCACTGGGTAAATTAGGAAACCATACTTCAAGTTCTGAGGATTTTAGAATGTGAGAGGGATCACTGGACAGAAAAAGGTAGCTTCCCAAATGAGTAGACAAAAGTCCCCTCTTCATGGGACTCTCAAGACGTCCTCAGTCAGGAAAAAAAGTAATTGATAGCAAATCATGACTAGTTTTATAATTGTTATATCACCACCAATATGGAGTGACTCCATCTGCTATAAGGACACAGTGATTGCTCAATTTAAGGATAAAGAGAAATTTGTAAAAAAAAAAAAATTACATAGGGCTAGAGAAGCTTTAGGGAAAATTTCAAAGCCACAGAAAGAAATTTGTCCTCACACATATCAAAGCAGGCTGGTGCACGTTGTATGCATGGTGGTCACTGGCACTTTCAGCCACTCAAGGCAGAAGAACCCAGTGTGAAGATAGGCTCTGACAAGGTCCTTCTATAAAATCACTTCAGCTGACAAAAGCATGCCTGCTCAGTTGCCACTGTCCCCATGATACTCGCTCAGCAACCTGAAGAGCACTGAGTAGATCTAAAATGACTGCATTATTAGATTTGTGTTCAAATCAACTGAGACTTATTTTCCCTTCCAGCTTCAACTTAATTATTCTGTAACTACCTAGTTGGAATTCCCAAAGCACCTTGTTTTAAGATCATCAATGATTTAGGGAAACTGAGTAATTCTTCAGATCCCAAAATCACACCTGTCACAAAAGGGCTGCCAGCAGCCATGGGCGATAGGGTGAATTTCTTGACATTAGCTGTGCCCACGTCTTGGCAGTTGGCAACTGCTTAATTCACCTTACAATCTATTGCCATCCATCCCCTCACAGGGCCAGGTAAGCAAGCACGCCTTCCTGCCACGAGGATTTCTGGGCACCCCGTATACACTAATATGTAGGGTACACGGACCCAATTCCCAAGTGAGTGTGCAAAGGTTTCCCCACCCAGGGAGTAAGTCTCGGACGCCAAGGGGGTCTGAAAATTCGACTCTTTTCAACTGAATTCTGATACAATTCCACAGGGTAAGGGCTCAATCTTCCAAGACTGCCCTCCTCTTCAGAGGCAGGCCGCAAGTGCAGGTAACAGCCTGATTACAGATGGGAGGTTTCTGCAACCCCCTCCTCAGACCTCAGGGGCCAGTTGCAAGCACAGACTATAACCCAGGCTTCTCACTGACTCCGTATAAATCGGGGGTACCCACAACCCACCCTTCTTGGGCTCCATTAATTTGCTAGAACGCCACACAGAACTCCGGAGGCCCATTTACCTACCACATCACCAACGTATTACAGAGGATATGAATCCACAGCCAGGTGAGGAGAAACCTACAAGATCCTAAACAAGAGAGCTTCCGTCCCTTTGGAGTTTGGGGTCTGCCCCGCAGCACCTGTAAGTGCTCTATTGCCCCAGCCTGGAAGCTCTTGGAGCTCCCCCTTCCCTCCCTCTGGGGATTTTATGGCGGCTTCATTACACAAGGCACAGTGACTAAATCATCAGTCCCTGGTGACTGCACTCGACCTCTAGCCCCTGCAAGTCAGGGGCAGGATCCCTCTATTCACATTGCTGTCCCTGCCAAGCAGCCCCCATGGCAGGTATTTTCCAAAAGTTACCTTTGTTAACCTAAAAAGAGACACTTAAATATTCTCAACACTTGGTAAATTTCAAGGTTTGGGGCAGACTGTGAGCCAGAAACTGTGAAGATCAAATATGTATAAGAAACAGATTTCTAGGTGACAAAATCATCTATGTCTTTAGAATCACAATATCACTGCCAGGTACCAAGTTACAAAGATGACAAAACACACGAAAGATGAAGAAACATACGTGAATGTTTCCCAACTCAGTGGAAAAGATATATGCAAACAAGCAGTGAGGAACAAGGAGTTCTACGGGGCTCTACTGGGAGTTACACACAAAGGGGGTACAGGAAGGGGAGCACCTGGGAGAATGCCAAGGAAGGTAGCACTGTGGTGGAGTCTGGCAGGGGACAAGCTGGGGGAGAATGTTCCAGGCTGAGGAAGATATGATGCAAACACAACATGACCATGGCTGATCAGAGATGGATGGAGCACGATGCAATGTGTTCTAGATCTCTCACTGGGAGGGGAAGAAAAAAGAAAGAAATGCGTAAGTTATGCAGGCTGTCTTTTTTTTTTTTTCCTCTGAAAGCAGCTCCACATTTCTCATCACAACTGTATAAATCCAGTGTGATGGCCCCACACCCACATGTGAATCCATGCCCAAGAGTCCAGTGCCTCCAATCCCTGTTGGCTGACTGGCAGGTAACAAGCCAAGGCTTCATTCATTTCTGGGAAATAGACTGCAATACAGGCACCCAGCTCATTGTAAATAATTTTGTTAGTGTGTACATCTCTAGAAAATGATGCAGGGAGTGTAGGTGGCCTCCCAATTAACTTGCAGTCTTGGTGCCATGAAGCAACTATCTGAGAAAGAAGTAAGAGAAAAGATTGACTTCCCTGCATCTTTAGGCACATCACACTTCCACTTGCAAGGAATAAAATAGGAATTTAGCAGCCTTGTTTTTCCACTAAAAGGACTGCTGGCCTGATTTTTTAATAATAGCAAAAATATAATACATAGGCTGCTATTTAAAAAAAAGAATTTCTTATTTATATGTTTCCTTGCCTAAGCCAAGGGCCCAGAAATAACCCCAGGGCTTCTTTGGTCCCTGGTGATTTTACTCCATTGCAGTGCTTCTAGGTATACCAGCAAACTGTTCAGAATCACGTGTTCCCACTCTTGTCCAATCCTATTCTTAAAAGTCTTACAAGATTCATAGCAACATTATTCACAATAGCAAAACGAAGAAACAAGCAAATACACACAGTGGAAACAACCCAAAAGACCATCCGCTGATGAAAGGATCAATACAAGGTTGCTATCTCCATCCGGTGGAATATGACTCAGCAATAAAAGGGAATGAGGACTGATCCTTGCCCCAACATGGCTGGGCCTCGAAAACATTCTGCTGAGTAAAAGAAGCCGAGCAAAGAAGAATACATGCTGTGTGGGCCACTGACGGGAGATGCTGCAAGGGAAGCACACACAGAGGCGAGAGCCGCGTGTGGTCGCCTGGTTGGGAGTGGAAATGACAAGCGACTATGAGCACAAGGTTTCCTCCAGCACGACGGAAATGTCTGAAAGTCTGACAGCAGTGATGGCTGCACAACTCCGTGAATATACTAAAATGCACTAACTACATTGGGTGCATTTTTATGATACATAAACTGATCTCAATAAAATTCTATTACAGAAAAAAACCATTTCCCAGAGAGAAAAGTCCATCCTCTGGACCAAAGAGTGAAGGCCTCGTGGAGCAGGTAGCACAAGGGGAGGTGGAAGGACATCTGCCGTGAACACAGCATGACACCCGCCGGATGGAGGGAGACTTCTCTGGGTTCTCACTGTTGAAGTCCAGTGCTGTGCAGCGGCACTTCCCGGATATTCAAAGATCTCTTGCTGGGCACAGAACACACGCACTGTCACTGTAAAGCAGGTTTAGCAAACTGGCGTGGCATGGTGCACGTTCAGCTTACTGGAGAGATTTGAGTGGCCCACATCAAATTTTTTTGTTAAATAAATTTTATTTTTATATTCCCCATACAATTGCAACCCCCTGATTTTGACCCCAATCCCTCCCCTCCCCGCCCCTCAACCCCCATAGAGTGTTTCTGGTTCACAGTTTTTTGTTGATTTTGATTTTCACTTTCTTATAGTTATTCATTTTCCTGGTCCCTTATTTAAGTTTTCTAGATTCCTGCTATGAGTGAGACCATCCGGTATTTTTCTTTTTCTTTTTGGCTTATTTCACTGAGCATGATCCCTTCCAGCGCCATCCATGTTGCTGCAAATTGCATGTGTTTATCTTTTTTGAATGCTGAGTAATATTCCATGGTATATATGTACCACATCTTCTTGATCCAGTCATCTATTTTTGGGCATTTGGGCTGTTTCCAAAGCTTAGCTATTGTAAATAGTGCTGCTATAAACATAGGGGTGCAGGTGCTCTTTGGAATTGACCGCATCAAATTTTTTTAATGAAAATTTGTCAACATTAAAAAATGATCAAATTCTAGATACCAGATTTCTCTTTCAAGAGAATAGAAAGTCCTGCCTAAGGGAAGGAGGAGGGAGAGGGATCAGAGGGAGGGAGGGAGAGAGGGAGGAGCCCAGGGAACTGAGGTGATGGTGCACGGGTGTACTGTGGAGGAAAAGTCTATGGGGACTACACCTGAGGTGTGGGGGCAGGCAAATAGGGTATAAAAATGAACAATGATGTAAAAAACAGAAAAAGAAAAAAAAAGAAAAAAACAGAAAATAGAAAGTCCTGCCTAAATACACACAAGGCAACTATTAATTGTAACTGCTGAGGGATGGACCCCTGTGAATAGGAATGCACCCAGCTGGCCAGTGTCCCTGACTTTGTCATCTGTCCCTGTGGATACTGAGTTTCTAGGAAGAAATTTCCAAAGAGCTGGAGTGACTCCTGGCAAGATCTGCAGGCAAAATGATTTCAGACAATATAGTTAAGAAAGAATGTGCCAATCAGAAGGGAAGAGTAGAGAAAGATGAGAAACTTTAATGTGGCCTTTCCAAGCGCAAGTCATAAACGATTCATTTAATTCTTCTCACTGAGAAATCTGAGGCTCAGAAAGGATAAGTCTCTTTGGCGAAAGCTACCCAGTGAGAAAGTAGGTAGAACCTAAAGCCAGACGTCTGGTTCCAGAGTTCCCTCTGCTAACCACAATATCAACAGTTTCTCCTACCGTGCTGGGGGCTAAATGTGCTCTCCAGGCAAATAATCCCACACCAATGACACTCTGCTGCTGATGAAATCAGGGCTCTAGACTGAGAGGCTGAAGCGGCTTCACTGATGGATTTTGCAGTCCATGACTTCATGTCTTGAATGGACAGAGTTTAAAAATTCCAATTTTTCAAAAATGTAGTAAAATTTATTATAGGGTATAAAGTCAGAATAGACAGAGTGTTCCCCTGAGCAACTTTTCCTCTCTGTAAATACTGAACTCAAAAGTACTCATGGACACAAAATCCTTGCTTACTTATTTAATTCTATTTCTAATATGTATATATATTTATTTTATTTATGTACACAAGAGCTGGGTACAGGCCAGAGATGCAGGAGGGTGAGAAGATTCACCAGAGACACAGCGGGGATGTAAATACACTGCTGAGGGGAGCAGTGGGTGAGACAGGAGAGGTCTGCTTCGCCATGTGGGTTGCTCCCTGGCCGGCCGGGGACAGAACTGCTGCAGAGGCGGCAGATTGCTTCATAGTGTGGTGCATAACCACTTGTGCCACCAGGGAGGCCCCTCTAAAAATCTATTTTATACTTTAATTTTTATTGAAGAAACCTTGGTTTATAACATATGTAGGTTTCAGGTGTTCAGACTGTAATTCAACATCTGCTTATACCACATTATCATCACCACCAAAAGTCTGGTTTCTACACACCCCCATGCAACTGATGCCTTTTAGCTGACTTCCCCATACTCCCTCCTTTCCTCTCGGGGAACCACCATTTTGACTTATAACCTAAGAGTTTGTTTTTGTTGTGTGTGTTTGCTTGCTTTGTTTCTGCATTTTCCATATAAGTCACTTATTTCTCATAAAATAAATGTATTATTATACCCCTGTAATCACGAAATACTAGCAGCAAACGGAAAGGCAGGAAGCTGTTGATGAATGAGATCTTTTACACTTTAATAGACTGGAGCAAATTACATATGATGACAGCAGCTAAGATATAAGATTTATTTCCAAATGAACATCCTTTTGACAGAGAATGGAAAGAGAAAACAACAGTCATCATAAAACGCTGGAAATAAGTCCTCCAAGGCATTCTATATTATCTGATCAGAGCTAACTGGTCTATATAATCCTTTGTTAAATAACCACCGAATTGTACCCTGTTCTTCCAGAAATGTCTTCACACTGTATCCAAAAGCCCTAATTGCAGTTATCAACACTAAATCATCTACCCATTTCAATACAAATATCACCAATTCCAACCAAGCTGAAGCTACAGCATGATCCAGTTGCTCTGCTCCAGCATCCTCGTGATGTAAACGCCTCATCGTCACATCTTTCCCAATGGTCCTATTTCTACAGCTGCTGTTAGATCAAACTGTCTTTCATGAGCCCTTTGTTCCAGACATTCATTCTCTTTCTGCTGACCAGAAGCAGACTCAAAAAGCAATGCGTGAGACATTGCTGACCACCATTCGCTAATTTTCCAACACACAGGTATCTGCCATCTGATCTTACCTGTCCAAGGCAATGGCAGGAAAACTGAGGATCGTCACAGAGCAGAAGACTTTGTGCAAAAATTTGACAACCTTGCAGAAGAGCATGGTGTAGATCCACCAGCAACAGTGAGGACTGGTGCTGAGGATGATGTCGAAGGGCACACAGACCAAGCTGGCACAAATCCCCGAGCAGGCCAGGTTTTGAATGAACCTGTTGGTGACAGATTTGAATACGGTTGTGCGGCAAGTTGACCATAACACCATGAAGTTTCCTGGCCAGATACGAAAAAGAATTAACATTTTAAATAAAAAGAAAGAAGACACAAGAAAAGACAGATGGAAAATACAGGTTAAATATGTCAAAACCACACTTGGGGGTGATTTCAAAAGATTTTCTTTACATGGTTATATGTATTGTCGATTTGCATGAAATTAAGTCACATAAATATCAAAAAGTCTGGAAGAGTTTATAGTGGTGAATTTGTTATTTAATTTTAGGCTGACAGTATTATGATGCTGATTTAGCCTCATCTAAATACAAACAATTTGCTAGGTATTACTTAATCTCAGGCAGTATTAATCTCTTGTCAAGTTTGCAAATTGGATCTCCAGTTGCCAAACTCTGCAACAGAAATGACGTGAGCCACAGATTTAAAACTTTCTAGTACCAATATTTTTATAAAGTTCAAAGAAGCAAGTAAATTTGAACACTGTATTTTATTTAACGTAGTATATCCCAACACAATCATTTCAACATGTATTCATCATTTTAGCAGTCTTTATGAAATATGTTTCATTCCTATTTTTGTGCTATCTTTGAAATCTACTTTTTTTTTTTTTAATGGAGAGATGGTGGTGCATAACACTGTATTGGTTTCAGGTGTACATGGAATATATTTTATTTCAATTTGCAGTAGCCACACTTCAACTGCTCAACAGTCACTGCAGCTAGTGGCTACTGTAGATTATACAATTTTAGATTTTTCAGCAGCATTGATACATGGAGTGGTCTTTGATCGGTTGCCTCTTGTGGCTTCCCAAAGCCAGTGTGCTGGTTTTTCTCCCTCCTCCCAACTCTCCCCCCTCTTGCTGTTCCTAGGCTTGCAGGCCCTCCTCCAGCCTCTCTCCACAGCCTTTCTCTCCATTACATTATCTGTTCAGTGGCTTTCCATGGAAATGCTGATCACTCCCACATTCATGTTCCAAAACAGCTTTCTCCTTTCAACTCCAGACTCCAATTTCTAGCTTGATAGCACTGTCTTTAACCCCTGCGCCACCAGGGAGGCTTCATTTTAAAGTAATGTCTAAATTTTAAAATAACAGAAAGTGACAATAAGTAAAGAACAGATTTTAACCAGCCTAACTGTACACCATAAAATCCTACCGTATTTTAATATTCTAATTGCTAGTCAATGCAGGCTATTTCTATTATTCAAAAACATGGTAAACATTATGCAAACAATTAAGTATAAATACAAGCTAACTTTTTCAATTGTTGTTACTGGAAAGATATCAGATCATATACCACTTCACGTCTGGAATAATCGTGTAGACACACTGTGTATTTGGAGATTGTGTTTTGGGATGAGATACGTTGTTGGACGTGGGTATTTACATTTCCAACATCTGGGTCAGTATAGAGACAAGCTAATGATAAAAGAACTTCTTGGCAAACCACTTCTTGCTAAGTGGGGAATGCAGAATGCTTGGCATCTGTAATTGAAGTAATTTGAGAAGACGCATTATATAGACAGAGAAGACATATTACTTAACTTCTACTATTTCATCATTAAGATTATAATTCATTAATCAATTTACACACACAAACACATTATTGTTCCAAATAAGTAAGAATTTAAAAACACTCAAATCGCTAAGTATGATCACAACAATAGTCTGTTCCATTCACTTGTCTTTCAGATATTTGGTGAAATGACTGCAGCCTAGAGCCAAAAAAACTAACACTATCTTTAGTTTTGTTTACTTTAATAAAGAAAGTGTGTTAATGAAAAAGTGCAAGCATAGATAATTAGTAAATAGAAATTAATGCGCTATTGTTATAGGGCAGCCCCGATATTGAACGGGTTGCCTGGCTGTGGGTCCTCACCTGCACGCTTACAAGGGACTTATTAATACTCCACTACAGGCATACACAAAAGGTTAATAAAAGGTTTATTTACAAGGGAAAAGGAAATAAGGAAAATGTACAACTCAGGGAGAAAATAGGGAAATAAAGTCTTTAATGCGTCCTATCCGATCCGCCGACCTGGAAACCCAAAAAGCACTCTCCGAGCTGGCCGGACACTGCGAGCTGGCAGAGAGTCAAAATGGGGGACCCCTCCAGGCCCACGTGTCTGGCTTTATACCAACCTGGCTGCTTAACCCCACCCTCAGGTCCCAGCCACCTTCCCTTTGGTGGTGATGGGATTTGGAGTTCCCAGTGTCTTTGGCTTTGGCCTGGGGTCGGGGTGGAGTCCACAAAGCCTGTATGGAATTAGCTTTAGGACAGCCTTTTCCCCCTAACAAAATTTTGCTTAAAAATCAAGGTAAGTACAGTAAAAGCTAATGTCCTTAAATGAGCATCCCGTAATGTAAATCTAACAACTATTAAAATCATTTTTATTGAAGTGTATCTTTAAATGATCCAACATGAAAAACGACAGCAATATGCTCAAGACCGACTAAGTCTAGTCTATGGAAATAAATGAATTTTGGTCAGTATTTAAAAGCTATTCTGGGACCTCCCCTGGTTGAGAGTTGGGCTGCGAAGCTGCCCGCAGCCTCTGGAGCGCCAGTTGGATATCCAGCTGCTGGCGAGGGTTCCACATGGCGCAACAGACCTCTCCTGCCGCGCCCGCTGCTCCCCTCAGCAGTGTATTTCATCGCTCTGCCTGTTCTGTTCCCCTCTCTGGCTCTGGTGAATTCTCTCACCCTCCCACGTTTCTGACTGTACCCAGTGCTTGTATAAATAAATAAATAAATCTTTTAAAGATAATTAAATAAATAAAAGTTATTCTGGATAATCACAGGAAATAGGAGTTTAAAAATATCTGCATATACTCTATTCTTTCCTGTTTATATCCAAGTTTCATTTAATCTAATTCTCATATTATAAATTATTACACACAATTCCTTTCTTTTTTTTTTTTTTTATAGAGGCATGCTTTTTTATTTATTTATTTTTTGTTTGTTTGTTTCGTTTATACATGCACTGGGTACAGTCAGAAGCGCGGGAGGGTGAGAGAATTCACCAGAGCCAGAGCGGGGAGCAGAGCAGGCAGAAGGACCGAAGCACACTGCTGAGGGGAGCAGAGGGCGGCAGGAGAGGTCTGCGCGCCATGTGGGACCCTCCTCCAGTGGCCGGGGAGCAGCCCAGGATCAAACCGGCGCCGCGGAGGCCGCGGGCAGCTTCGCAACCCAGCGCTCAACCGCCGCGCCACTGGGGAGGCCCCACACAATTCCTTTCTAAAACATCATTCTGATTAAAAAAAATAAACCCTATCACTTACATAATAGGATACATAGGTGTACACAGATAATAGATAGTATAGGATACAAGAACACATTAAATGGTATATAGCATGTTATATGGTAGTATATGGAAAAACGTAGGAGATTGAAAATATTATTGCATTTTATATATGATGTAATAAATAATATCACTAATTTTAACAGGGTATAATATTGCCTAAGTTATAAATCACTTCAGAGGTCTTCAAAAAATACAGTATATAATTCATACTGTTTGTAAACAGTACATTTTAAAATATGCTAACTTACCAACAAATAAATCTTCAATGGATTAGGAAAAATGTATAACAATTTCCATCTTATACTGAAAAAAGATTTTCAAGTAAGCAACTTAGGACTTAGTATCAGAATACAGTGTTTAATCTATTTTTCCCTAATTACCTGAAAAAAATTAACGCACATCAATGTAAGCATTTGTTGGACTAAATTAAAAAATAGTCCAAGGTCATGTTGCTCCTGGGCTTTGGATCAAACTCTTGAACATTTGCCTCAGTGGCTGGTGACAGCTTCATAGCACAGAGACTTAACTCCTGCACCACCAGGGAGGCCCTGAATAATGCAATTCTAAGCCAGAATAAAGTAGGGCTGGATGGGTGAATTCTACCAAAATTTAAAGAAACTTTCTTTTAAAGATTTATTTATTTATGCACACAAGAACTCAGTTACAGGCCACAGGTGCAGGTGGTGAGAGGATTCACCAGAGACAGAGTGGGGAGCAGAAAAGGCAGACTGATTGAAAGCCACTGCTGAGGGAGCAATGGGTGAGTCAGGAATGTTCTGCTGCCCCATGTGGGTCACTTCCCTGGTTGCCTGGGGATGGAACTCCTGCTGCAGAGGCTGCCCAGACCTTTCCAGTGCTGTGCTTAACCCCTCATGCCACCAGGGAGGTCCCACCTTTTTTTTTTTAAAGATTTGTTTATTTTTATACAAGAGCTGGGGTACTGGCCCAAGGTGCAAGAGGGTGAGAGGATTCACCAGAGACAGAGTGGAGAACAGTACAGGAAGACAGACCAAAATACACTGCTGAGGGGAGCAGCGGGCAAGTCAGGAGAGGTCTGTGCGCCATGTGGGTAGCTCCCTGGCCAGCCTGGATCGAACCTGCAGCACTACAGAGGCTACGGACAGCTTCACAGCGCTGGGCTCAGCCCGCTGAGCCACCAGGGAGGCCCCACTTTTGAAGACATTGTACCAATTCTCTACAGCTCTGTCTTTTTGATTGTAGAAGGTATGTACCTTCTACATGAACACTTCATACCTACAGAGGCACACACATACACATTCATGGACAGACTCACATGCACACACTTGCACAGACACAGTGCCACACATGCACATACACCTAAAGAAAACAGTGCAAATACCCAATTACATAGTTATTGATAGCTCTGCTTCACTCTCCTGTTTTTCTGTATTATCACCACGTGACCACTCTGACTTTTCTAAAATTTTCTAAATTTTTTAGTATTTTCACTGCTGGTTATAAGAATTTTAAAGGAGGAACCTCCCCGTTGGCTCAGCAGGTTAAGCGCCACACTGTGAAGCTGTCCACTGCCTCCGCAGTGCCAGTTCAATTCCCGGCCGGCCAGGGAGGGTCCCACATGGCGAGGCAGACCTCTCCTGTCTCACCTGCTGCTCCCCTCAGCAGTGCCTTCGGTCTGTCTGCCTGTTCTTCTCCCTGCTCTGTCTGGTGCATCCTCTCACCCTCCCATGACTCTGGCCTATACCCCAGCTCTTGTATAAA